AGTAGTAGTAGTAGTAGTATTATTATTTTACATCAGGAGAGCAGCTTAGGGCTGCCCTCAGAACCTCCCTAGGGGTATGCAGATGTTTTAAGCTATAATTTTACGATACATGAAATGAGAATGCCTTAGAAAGAAAAGTGAAAGCCTTACAACCATTCCCGGTAATCATATGTTACCTTCCAATTTGTGCATTCTCTCCTTTGCCAGTTGAGGTAATTCTATTATCTTACCTGGTGTAAGCAGGTATATCTTTGTTGTAGATTTACTATTGTTTGTACTGATAGGTTAATGGACTGTTTTTGATATAACAGTTTGAATGTTTGTTATACTCCAGAGAGTATTCTCAGATATATTTTTATATATCTTGTTAATATTCAATCAGGTTTTTTATATTTATTAATAGTTTTGTTTTTTTAGTATATACTCTGTAAAGGGAATTGATGATTTTGTTTATATTATATATTACAAATCAATCCTGATAATAGATATATATTATTACAAAGTTTTTTAATTATTTGTTTTAAATAGAATATAAGCTTATAACTCTCTACTTTGGGCATATATCTTTGTAAAACTTTGTGAGCTTTAGCAGCTTTGCGAAATCCATAAGATTATTTAAGACTTGATATAGATATTGAATGCCTTTCTTATTTATCAATAATGATTTGGGAGACTTGTTTGGCTATAGATCAAAAATGCCTCTTATCTTCCAGTAATAGATCAAATGAACAAAGGTTTTGGGCTTTTCGCAAAAGCATTCCATATCTCCTGAATACCCGAATTTCTTGTGATATTAGCCGAAATCCTTATGTAAGGTTTGGATAATTATTAATCTGTATAGGATTATTTGTAGGAGTAAAAACTCTAGCAATAGTTTGACTTTGTATATCAGATCCTATTGTTTGTATTACAGTGAAAGGGCTGATTTGTATGATATCCATTATTCTTGGTAGATCTCTTTTTTGAGGATATATATAATCAATCTCACCCTATTGTATGTAGGTTGAGATATTGATCCAGTGTCCCAACTAGGTTTCTTAATACCAAAGTCAGCAAGGTAATCAGCCGCCTTATTTCCCTTGATGTTTTTATATCCCGATAATCACTTGATGCGAATATCATTGTCCTTTATAACCTTATAGCAATTATTGAATATCTATTGTAATGATATAGAGGTATTAGCCCTTATGCCCCAGATAACCAAGGTATTATTAATACATATCCAGATTTTCTAATTGATATATCTAGTATCCTTGAGGGTACATTCCAGGCCTTTTTATACTTCAATAACTTTTGTATCGAAGATATAAAACTAGATATTGATAAAGCCAAAGTCTGCCAATATCTGATTTTTACCTAAGTATATTATATACCTATAATCTACAATATATTTTCCTTTTATATAGTTTTCCGATCTATTCGAGAAAATGGTGATATCTGTATTTGACAGATTTTCCCACCAGGTATTGAAGGTTTTTGTAACCGTTTTCTTATCGATCCCTTCCATTAAATCTATTTAATAGCCCAGTGTATACTATAATATCTTGAGTGTAAGCCTTGGGATTGGGGGAACAAGGAGACCCAGTTGTTGGACTTTGGTCTTCGCTCTTTGTCTTATGCTTATATCTTGCCCTTTAATAATTATAAAGGGTTCGATTCTTTTCGTGAATAGATGAGTTGTATCTACACTTTGAAGGCATAAGGCAAACCTCAGTTTGGCTTCCTTGAGGACTGCTATAGCTAAAGGGAGACTTGTTTTATAATAAAGGGTAATTATCAGTATAGTTTTTCAGACTAATATAACTCCTTATATTATTACTGTAAGAACCTTTTCGATTTGTATCACATACCAGCCAAGGCAAACGCTAACTTTTGCTTATCCTGGTTTTAGTTTTCACACTGCTTTGAATCTATCTCTATATCAGACCTCAGTTCTATACAGAAATGAGGAAAATACGTATATGATTACTGTCTTGTGTATGGTGTATACTGGGGGGCCTTATATAACTTTGGCCAGGCTTTATATATACTTTGCTACTGCTTTGGTTTTATTTGTACATTCAATAACATACCTACAAAAGTTCAGTTTTCTATCGAACTATACTTTCAGCTATCTTAGTGCTAGACAGGTGTTTGTTTCTATAATTATTATCGGGTAGATCGTGAATTCTTTACTGATTCTGATAACAGGTATTGTATTGCCATTATCTATAGAGATATAGATCATTTCCAGTTTCTCTGGGATGAAAGCGATACGATTATTTGCTTCCCACTTTATGATGTTT